ATAAATCTATTTCTTCTAATCTGGTTTTTGTAATTTCAACCAATTGTATTGAATTAGAAAGTTAAATAGTCCAATTGATTCAACCTGAACATTCCATTTGGTAAAGGTTATACATGCTTAAATGTTCATTTCATTGTCTCAAGGCACTGATGCACCAAATCAGTCTAAAAAATTGAACATGTTCTGAATAGCAGCAAATTCTCCAAGGTCTTTGGCAGAGAAACTAGCCCTGCTGGTTAAAATCTTCTTGGTGAAGCTAAGGTGGAATATATCTGGAATTTTCTGCACACGTGTCACTTTTCAGTAACTACCAAGCAATATTGAAATGCTATATTTAGATTCGCTGGAGGGCAACATCGGAGGGCTAAAAAATAAGCTAAATCTATGCCCAATATAAGACAAAAGGAACAAAAAATAAGGTTGTAGGTATTAAGTACAGAAGATAAGTAATAAAATTCCAAAAAAAACCCCATGGATTCAATAAGTGATCTCCATAGTTCACTTGTAGCTGAAATCTTGTAATTCAATCTTCTCTTATATTCACTTTCCAAACATATTATTCTATCAGAGCCCACACAAGATTCTTACCCAACAGTTTATCAGCAAAATTGTTTAACAATGGTTAAAATACCATGGTTTAATCACAATGGATTGATTCACATCATATAAGTTTATTTCAAATTGCCAGTGTTCAGAGCCTAAATGACAAATAAAAAATCTTCTGGTTCATTTTATTGTATAAATACAGTCACTTTGTATTTGTTGAATTTCACAGTATTTAACTTTTATATACTATATTAATGAAGTTGAAAGAATACCCAGCTGCCTTGGAATTATCCCACAACCAATCAGCAGGTCTGCTACTTAAAGTATCAATCTATCTGCTGTATTAAAATATCTATAGAATCCCGTTCTGAAAAATCACTATCTTGGTACCTAATTTCTACCTAACAATTACATGAAAACTCTTGATTCTACAGTATTTTGGTATCTATTTAATTGCTGAGCTATTACATGGGTAGTCCTCAACTTACAACTCCAACTGAGCCCAAAATTTCCGTTGCTAAGCAAAACAGGTGCTAAGTGAGTTTTGCCCTATTTTACAACTCTTCTTGCCACACTTGTTAAGTGAATCACTGCAATTGTTAAGTTAGTAAAACAGCTGCAAAGTGAGTCTGGCTTCCCCATTGACTTTGCTTGTCAGAAGATCGCAAAGGATGATTACATGACCCCAGGACACTGCAACCGTCATAAATATGAATCAGTTGCCAAACGTCTGGATTTTGATCATGTGGCCATGGGTATGCTACAACAGTCGTCAATGCGAAAAATGGTCATAAGTCACTTTTTTCAGTGCTGTTGTAACTTCGAATGGTCACTAAGTGAACTATTATAAGTCGAGGGCTACCTGTAATTTATTTATTAGATACTTTTTTGCTTTCTTCTCATTTGGGAAGGTCAGAGCAGCTTCCCAGCAACTTATCAGCCAGGTGTTGACTTGTCTGAATTGTCCTGTTTCCAACAATGCATTTATGTCATCTGCTCAGAGCTATCCTCAGTTTCTAACCAGTAAATGATCTTCAACCAAATATGGCTTGAAGTTTAGCTGAAAAGAAGCAAACACCAAGGAGTATTATTTTTCTGACTCAAAACACATTTCAAAGCACTGAGAAATGTTATGACCGGATGACAATTGTTGGATTCCCCACTCCCCATGCATAGTGATTAGTTGTTCTCGAACAACTAATGATTGAAACCATCCTGAAGTGTTAACATGCTATTTTGGGGGGGAAGGAATGAATGAGTGAAATAAAGGGCGTGCATGCTTACACTTAATTTCATATTATAATGGTCACATGAATGACTGGATGCTGTATTTAGGAGATAAGAGTTTAAATCCCAGAAAAATTCTGCATTTCTCAGGTAGCCTTGTTAATTATATAGGTAGAGTGAACAGAAAGTAACAACTTTAAAGAAAAATCCACTTGAGAAAGCAGCTGTCAATATTAATGGATACAAGGATGCCACACACTGTAGAGGTCTGATGATATTCACCTGTTTATTCTCCCGTGTGATATATGTCATCAGTATTTTCAAAATATTGCTTTCTGTGTTGTCCAAGAATGATTTGTTAATGTAGTCCCAACAGTTCCAGAAAGTGAAAAGGCTGGGGAAGGCCAATATATATCACTTGCCAACCTTCTTTTTCCACTAACCCAACAACTTTCTACAAAAAAGAATAAATTGACATAGATCTGGCCCAAATAGCATAATGCTAAGGAATATAACCGTATTTCACTGAAAAAACAAAAACATTCCTAAGGGAATTCACAACAGAATTGACTGAACTAGACTATCTAGGCACAAAATTTGCACTCTTGTGGGCCTGCAAAATCCTCAAACAATGGTTTTGTTTTTTTGCTTCAGAGTAATCTGGAACATCTATTTCAACCCTTAAAAATGTTTCCTAAGAACAGGCTGAATTTTTCCTGAAATGTTTAAGGAGCAAAATACATGCTTAAATCTCTGTAAGGCTTTAAAGAATCCATGTTACCTTTTAAATCCCCTCAACTCCTAAAGCCAAACAAAAAGAGTCAAAAATTCAAAACACCATCAGCTAACAACCCACTTCTCCTGCCACAAACACACATACACACACACCTTCATTCTTATGGTCATTTTTTAAAAAAATAATATGTGTTTTCTTTATCCATTTCCCAATGGTATGTACAATATTTGGCAGTTGTATATGAGCTGCAGTAGTTCTTGCATTTTACAGTTTTTCACTGCTCACCATTTCCTCTCTCTTTGTGTGCATGCAATACGACCTATCAAAATAAAATCCTTTTATTCACAAATTCTGTGTTTACCACATTCCTTGAATTTTTGGGTTACCTTTGTTGGCAGCAGACCAAGAATACCATCCAGTGTAATTATTAGAGAATAAATCTGGCGGTACTCAGTACAGTTTGCTTTGGAATAAATGTGGGAAGACTCTGCAGAGTTGCACAGTAACTCAGGAAGATGAGACCACAGGGTATAATCTCCTGTAGAGTGGGTATCACCCCGCCAGCTGTGTGGTTTAATGCTTGGGAAAGATTACATTTTTTTTATGAAGCTTGCAGCAGACTTTCCTACAACTCTTGTCTCCCATTTCCTTAAACCTCTGCTCCCAATCAAGGAAATGAAAAGGCAGGAAACAGTATATTGCTTTATCTGAAAAGAATGTACAACTTTGTGAAACCACACCACTGCACTGCATATTTACACCAGTCAATAAAACTCTTGTTTGCAACCTAGAAGCACAGGAAGCCAGAGAACGAGATTCTGGCTGTGTGTTTGATAATGAACCCTCTTCTCATCATCTTCAATGGCATGGCAGGTTTTTTTTTTAAGATTACACAGACTACATAGAAGAATAGGTGCTCTGAAACGCACTTTTTCATCATCTTAGGAAGGTAAAGATTCACACATTTGGTGAGGTTGTGTGCTTGTAGTAATATGGATTGAGGAATATCACAAGAAATTAAAGATTCTTGGTGTTCTAAGAATGTAAATAGTGCTGAGCTATTTGCCTGTCATATCTTCAATTGCTAGGATTCAATTGCAAGCCATGTTGGTTTTGAATTCTGGGGATTGTAGTCCAATATCTCTGGAGGAAACTGGTTATTTTTAACCAGTCTCCTCCAGCATGGTTCTCTTCAGTCAAAGTGACAGGCAAATGGAGTGAGCCAACTTTATGATACCCAAATGCTTATTGAACAATTGTGTTTATCTTTCCTATCTTTTAGTGGGAGGAACTGGGCTCTTTGGCAGTCAATGTTGAGTTGGAGAAGATTATTCCAAATTCTTACTGTAAGCAGGATATCTAATTCCTGCTTCTGACTTTGAATGACTGGGTGATAAGGAGAAGATTCAATAAACAATGCTATTCTCAGCACACAAAACTTGGAAAAGTTAATCCACTCAACTCCTGTTTCACAAATATATTTTAAAATCAAAAGTGGCCATGCTGATTCATGAAAACATCCTCCCTTCAAAATTGTAATTGTGCTTCATTCACCATTCTTACTTATAAACCACAAGGCAGCTTGCATAAGAAACCAATGGAGTTTTAATCTCATGATTAGCCTGTGAAGTTGGGTAACAGCAACTAGTCATTAGTCATCCAGAAACTTTCCCTGTGGATTGAGGCTCTGAACCAACATCTTCTCAATTCTAGGTTGCTTTAAACACCCAACAAAGATGATTTTGAACACTCTTGCTAAAAATATTTCAAGCAGACAAAATTTATTCAACAGGTGCCAAGAAAAAGTAGCATAAATTGCTCCAATGTTCCCACTGGTCAAAGGTAGGGCAACATCACCCTGTTAATGAGTAATCATTCTTGGCTTCAGAGAAATGGTCACCATATTATCCAACTCCTTTCACCTAAAATTACCTTCCTCAGGATGTAAGATCACATCTATACCATTGAGTGGTCCCTTCTACAGAAGAGTGTGTGACAGGAATCTAGCTGAGGGACAAGAAAAGTGGTCCCGAGGAAGTGCCCAGGAGCCTAATCAAACTGTGATTCCATCACACACACACCGATCCTGCCAGATTCAGAAGGAAGCATATTAATCGTTATGTCATTCCAGAAAGTTCCTAGCTCAGCCCCATCTCAATAACTTTATAGTCACACTTGACAGTCTTCCTGTTGTTGTCCAACAAGATTAAAGAACTCTACACATGCTCCAAAACACTTCAAATATATTACATCAATCCTCCCGTTGAGAGAAATGTTTCCTTTTTAAAACGTCTGTTTGAGATGAAACCCTGGGCTATCAAACAAATCTGGTTAGTAAACCCAAGGTCTCAGATAAGAAATGATTTCCCACTGTGGACAAACACAAGATTAAACCAGGAAAAATCCATTCCACAGACGTTTGCTCAGGGTGTCCCCCCGCAAAGAACTCTTCTCCACCACCATCATCTCCCAGGCACGCTTCTTTCCTTACCGAGACTCTGCTTCGGTTTCATGGCTCCGATGAATTGTATCCGATCAGCCAAGCACTGCAAAAGTAAAAGCGCTCCAGCAGCCGCTACCTCCGCTTTCCAAAGCCTCGCCATCACGCCTCTCGGCAACTGCCCCTTTTCAGCCGCTTGCGCGCTCTTTGGTCTCTCGGGTGCGTCCGTTGGGGAACAGCAAAAAGGCGGCCTCTCTTTTCCGCTTGAGTCCCCGCACTTCACTTCCTTTAAATCCCGTCTGTAAAGTCACTTTTTCTCTCGACCCGGTTTCATTCAGAATAGGAGCAAGAGAGACAGACAAGCGCCTGCGTCTCCTCTGCGTCCTCGACTGACTCTTTTCCTACTCGCGAAGCCAAAAAACGAGCTGAGTCCAGCAGCGCAATAACTGGGAAGGGTGTGTGTTTGCATACGCGTGGGGTGGATGCGTGCGTGTGGGAGAGTGTCAACAAGCAAAACCTGGTTGCTGATGCCAAACTCTCCCGAACTGCTCAAGAGAGTCCAGGAGGCAGAAATCAAAAGACCCAACAAGCAGACGCCCACTTCCAACCTCCCTCACTCCCTTGCATGCTCGTCCAGAGCAGAAATCAACGCTAGCGAAGGGCGGCTCTGAAGAAGATTGTGGGTTGATGTTTTTTACCTCTTAGTCAAACGCAACTTAAGTTAAACGAGGGTTTGAGGGAAGGTTATTAGGGAACAAATCCACCCAGAAGGAGGCTTCCAAATTATACGAGCCTCGAATTCCTGCGGTGCGATCCAGTGGAGAACTCCAATGGGCAGGTCTAGGACGAAGTAAGCTCCCGTTCTTTTCCAGTTGACAATAGGTTGGGCTGGTCCAGGGAGACGCGGATGGCCGAGGAGCTCTCGGAAGAAGCGAGTCCCTTTTCCTCAGTGGCTTTAAGACAATGGGTAGAATCCTGCGGCGACCAGACCTGGAAGAAGACGGATTATCGACTGCCCCGTTCAGCAAGATATAAACCGAGGGCAAGCGCTTCACCCGCAGACACAGAAAGGCAACTTGCAAGGAGTCATCCGGAGATGCCTTCTCGCCTGGCTAGGCAGTGGGCGAAGCAACCCGGCGGCAGGCGAAAGAGTTTAGCTGCCACGATCGCCGCACCGCCCACTCCCACCACCCAGCCCGCTTTTCTCAGTTTAGAAAAGTCCCTTGTTTGGGGCAAGGCATAAAAGCACCCGCTGCCACCGCCGCCTTCTACTTCCACCTTCTTCTGCCGGAAGCCGGTTACCCCTACCGAGGCGCTTTCCCGAAAAAAGAGGGAGAAAGAAAGAAAGAGAGAGGGGGGAGGGGGCAGATGGGTCTCTGGGCTTGCCACCTCCTCCTCCTTGCCAGGAGATGAGCAGCGCCTCCGTGCAAACTCGGTATTTTCTCACTTCTCTTTTGTCCTCCGGCAGAGATTGATCAAATGCGTCTCCCCCTCCCACAGTCTCTCCCTACCCAAAGAGAAAGAGGCTGGAGCTCCTGCTGTGCCTTAATCCGCGGCGGGCAAGGGAAGGGGGGTGTCGCTCGAAGGCACCGCTCGGCCTCCCCAAAACAAACACACGCGGCTGAGAAAAGCCTCCCCCCGGCGCTGAGAAAGGAACCGCGTGCAGCTGGGCTGGAAAGCGCGAGCAAGGGAGGGCACGGGGTAACAAAAAAAAAAAAGGAATCATACTTAAAAGCGGATTTATGCCGAATCGGGAGGAGAAAAGTATCTAGAGGAACTGCAGCGTTCACGGAAACCCATTCCGCCAAAAGTGTAGTTTACGTGGTTCTTGCCTCTTAGGTCGCACCGCCATCTAAAGCATGAGGGTTTAAAAAAAAAAAAAAAAACTACCGTAGAATGGGGCTCAATTCATGCCGACTCTTTTCTCAAGCAACGTCACTCCCGCTTAGCCCTCGAGAGGAATTCTCAGCCTTTTAACAGCTCAAGAATGGAAAATACAGTAGAATGAGGGAGCAACGACGAGGCAATAAATCATGGCTGGATAAGTCGTCTTCCCGCGCACGGATTCAAGCACTGCATACCGCGCACGTTGCCGATGAAAGTCTGAATTGTTTCTCCAACCCGTTGCTTTAGCTGTGCACGCCCCCTTTCAAAGGTGTAAGCTTCACATTCAGGGCTCAATGACTATTGCTGATTTAGGCATCTGGTAAGTAATTATTTCAGATGCCCTGGCTACCAAAGAAACACAGTTTAGTTAAAGGAAAAGCAGAAGAGGAAAGAGATCTCTTTATCCACTTGTGAAATGTTTTGGGGTCCAGTAGAGTTCTTTGAAATAATGCACATCCACTCAGACTTGGTGTGAAGATAAGCAATAAGTACCAGGAATTAAAGCTCAGTCTCCAGCATTTCAGAGGCATAATATTTCTCGCACATAAAAATCATAAAGATTTTTAATATTTTAAAAAAAGCTGTATAATAACTTCTGATGGATTTCAGTAGATTCTTTTTCTCTTGCACTTAATGCAAAACTCCTTATTTTAGATACAAATTACTGGATTCACTCACATTTTTTTCTGGTTGAATGGCCACTTCATTTACATCCTACGCATCTTTTTTTTAGTAATTTTAATATGGATAGTAATTAGTCCAGCAAATTAATTTATCACAGCTCAATACTCATTCACTTATAACTTGGAGGTTAGAAACATCTTATAAACATGTTTATTTTGTTTTAGTTCTCTATGCTAATTTAAGCTCTTTATTTTTTGTAAAAGGGAAATGTTGCTTAAATAGAGGAATGTTATAACATCATGAATATTTATTTTAAAAATAAATAAAGAAGAGAAACATTCCTTATCAGCAATATTTTAAGAAATAAGTATAATTGGTAATTATGAACAAGCATCTATTAAATTAGTAATAATGGAAAATTACAAATTACAGTATGTTATTGCATGAGACACTGTAGTTGGAAGCTTTAAAAAAGGTTGTTAGGATCACTAAGCTACGCTAAATATATGAAGATGATTATGTGATCTGCACATTTTCAGTGTATTTTTAATGATGAATGCTACCCCCAAATCAGAAATGCTGGAAACTGTAGGTCTTCAGTTGAAGCTTTAATAGCTTCATGCTTAGGATACTACTTGAAGCCTTAAGGGCTTCAAGTAGTATCCTAATTTTCCAATCTTGAGCTGGTTTCACCAGTATTGAAAAGTGTAACAGTATATGGTCCATCATCTATAATGAAATAAGAGCACCATTTTACACTTCTGTGCACCAAGTCTTAGTTCTTTTGTGGATATCCAGCTTTTTTTGCAATTATATAACATCTAAGTTCTTTTGGAAATGATTCCATTAATGCTATACCTTTTATCATGCTTTCCCAAGAGTTGAGAATATTTTTCATAGCATCTTGTAAAAAATCTGATTAAGGAAGTAAGTTAGTTATAGAACAACATCAAGAGTTCCAAGCAATGTTCCCTCTAATATTTTTTCAGTGTGTGCGGAAAAATATAGTGTTTGAGTGGCACATTTTCATGCCTGAGCACCTGCATTATTTCCCAGATGTTTCACAGAGCAATTGATTTATAGGATCTGAATTGGAATGGAGAAAAATGGTTTTGTGTGTCCTTGAGTATGTGAGTGTGTGTGTGTGAGAGAGAGAGTGAGCGAGGGATCCGGTAATGGAACTGCACCTCTTTAGAAAAGGTAAATTATTGCAAACATGATCAGTCGAAGATAAGTATGGGAACAAGTTGGGCAGTAGAGAGAAAGTGATAAAAGAGTGGGGAAAAAAGAGGGAAGAGCGACAGAAAGAGACAGAGAAGGAGAGAGAAAGTGGGAAGAGTGGGAAAGGAGAGAGAGAGAGAGACAAAGAAAGAGGGTGAGAGAAAAAGAAAGAGACAGGAGAGAGAAGGGAGAAGGAGAGAGAAAGTGAAGGAAGAATGGAAAAGAAGGAGAAAGAAAGAGAAGAGATAAAGAGAAAGAGGATGAGAGAGACAGAAAGAGGCAAAGAGGAGAGAGAAGGGAAAAGGAGAGAGAAAGTGAAGGAAGAATGGAAAAGAAGGAGAAAGAAAGAGAAGAGAGACAGAAAAAGGATGAGAGAGACAGAAAGGCAAAGAGGAGAGAAGGGAAAAGGAGAGAGAAAGTGAAGGAAGAATGGAAAAGAAGGAGAAAGAGGAGAAAGACAAAGAGGATGAGAGAGACAGAGAGAGAATAGAAGAAGAGGAAAGAGTAAGAGAGAACATCTCATTTCAACCTGAGGTGCAAATATTCTCTTTGATTGGTAATTTTATTTGTCCATTTACTATCCAATACTCTCATTTCTCCTTAAGTTCATCAAGAATTCCCTTCTTTTTATTGAATTTATCACAATACCTCGAGAACAACTTTTTCAGCACAGCTTTACAACTATTTAAAATATATAGTAATTTAGGTCAGATTTTCAGAACATTACTCTATTTATAAGTCACTAAGTGCAAAGAAACATAATTCAGAAAGTTGGCTTCCCTTTTTGTAATTGCCTATTGTCTGCTTAATTTTCTACCTACATTTTTGATAACTGATATTCACTGTTGACCCAAGAAGCCCATCGTTGAAAGAAACCTTCCCTATGAACTTTGTTGGGTTTCCATGGAATGAAGTTTGATCTTTTTCTCAACCATACAGTAGCATATTCTTTCTAAGGAGGATATAATCAAGATAGTCCATAATTGCCTATCAATCTAACAGTATGGCGATTGTCAATCTCTTTATATTTCAACTCTTAACTCTCTCAGTCTTAAAGGTTTGGTGAGGAGAAATCCAAAAATTCTTTTAAAGAAGAAAAAAAATGCTTGCACAATTGCATCCATGGAGACATGTATATATATACACAACACAGAGAGAAACAAACTTAACAAAATGCTAAGTCTGCCCACTAAAACTAACTATCTCTCTCTCTCTCTCTCTCTCTCTCTCTCTCCCCCTCCCCTTCAGAGAAAGAGATAGTTAGTTGATGGGCAGACTTAGCACTTTGTTAAGTTTGTTAGAGGGAACATTGGTTCCAAGGCTTAGGAGCACATTGCTAATTACAGTTATTTCATTTATTTATTTAATGGACTTATATGACTGCCTATGTCACTTAAGTAACTTGGTAGCTCACAATATTAAAAATAATAAAGACATAAACAAAAAAATATAAAGCCAATAGCAGCAAGAAAATAAAATTACAATACTAGAGTCCAGCACTCAGCATAACCAAGCTATGGGCCCTGCCCACAACCCACAGAGCACAGAGCCATGTCTTCAGGGGCTTATGGAAAATCAATAGGAAAGTACCAATTTTGTAAATCCATTAGAAATATATAACCATGTGGTGATTTGTTGTGCATTGAAAGTAGAAAGTAGTGGATTCTATAGACTACCCTTCAGTAATTGTTAAGAAAAAAGTCTACATCCATATTGCACATTTATTATTTTCTGGAAGCAATAAACCTTCAGATGCTCAAGAGGTCAGCGCCACCACATCTCTTTGTTATACAGTGTTGAATGTATTTCTTGAAATACGGCTTATAGATGATGCCACTGCTATAGCACTTCATTTACTTAATGCACCTTTAAAAATGTTATCCTTGATCATTAAGAAGACTGTTCATCTTTAAAATTGTAATTCTATATGCAAGATTATAGGACATAAGATATATCTGCTAAAGTACAAATTTAC